ATGTTGTTTCTCTGAAACAGAGTCAGACTAAATAGCACAAACTGGCCTCAGATCACAATCTCCCTTCTCCAGCGTGCTGAGATCACAGGCATGGAGCCTCATGCAGGCAGGTTTTGAACACTGTATAGAAGTTCGTCCGACAATGGCAAATGGGAGGCTAATGGTTGGGGAGAGCATCAGTTATACAGAAAGAAATAAAAAAAAAGCTGTGCAAAACTGGAACTCATCTCCACACATACAAGTAAAGCTGCCTTAACTTCTGCAAGAATTAGGGGTAGGGTTTCAAAAGGAGTTGTTTTCCCTTTTGTTTTAATTCCTATCCTCAGGATCCCACTGAAAACACTCAGCATTGGTGTGCCTGAATTTCAAGGTTTGTTCACTTCATCCTGCGGCTAAGCTACTTTTAGAGGCAACCATTCAAGCCAACAAAAAACATTCAATACATACTAATAGTATATTACAAAAAGACAACAATGTGCTTGGAACCATACTTGCTGTTAGGAGACTGCAGTCCAAGCAGTGCTCATTCAGAAGTGTTGACTGAATGGATTTCAAGCCCTCTCCTCACGATGACATAAACATCAGCAGATTCTGAATTTTTCAAGGGTTCACCATGTAGCCTTAATGATCTATTCTGTCCTTAAAGTTAACATTTTTAAAATAAACTACATAGTCACCCCTGTATACATTAGAAATTGAAATTTATTTTTTCAAATGTTTGTTAGTGTTATTTGAACTTAAATTTTTGTAGTTTCTTTTTAAACTAGTTTATTACAACTGATATTTCTTTTTTCAAAAATTACAAACTTTATATTCTTGCATTATTTATAAATCACTCTGAATAATTTTAATTAACAAAATACTCTCTCATTAACACAGATGCATAAAATTAGTATAAATTTATATCAATAAGGAGGCAGATGGGAACTTTAATAAAATATCTATTTTTGATATTTCTGTTTTATTCATTTACTTTATTTTTTTCTAAAGAACTTTAGTTTTCAATTATAGTATACTCTACCATCTGTTAAGAGAAAATAGTTTTAAAGTGATACCACCTATTCTTTTTGAAAATCCTTTTAGGAGCTATAGTAAATGAATGAAGAGGCTTCCTCTTACTTTAATCTACCAAAAATATAGGTACAAGTGATACATTTTACGAAATATAATAATTCATTAAGATTTATTTCATTTCTGCATTAGCATTTCAAATAATCATTAAGAGAAATATTGGCATTAGAAATAAATAAACAGTATCTGGTTTGTGTGTGAATACTAGCTCTTTAAATTTGAATATAAAAATGGTAAATCATGATTGCTAAAATAGCAGATGTTTGCTTTTAACTTTCAAAAATTATAGAATTATCTCCCTCAAGTTAAAGTAGACAGACTCCTGTTTTCAGATAGTCACACCTATGAACACTCATTACTTTTCTGAAAAATATTTGAAATTGACAAATTCAGCCAAGTAAAGAGAAAATCAACACAGGCAGTTTTGGAAAACAACATTAACTGTCAACTGTGTTACTTCCTACAATAGGATCTGGCTTTTTTTTTTTTTTTTTTTTTTTTTTTT